TGCAGGACCACCCGCCAGCGCCCCAGCTGCTCTGCCCCAGGCATCCCCCAGAGCAGCTGGGGTGCTGCCAGGTTGGTCTCGCAGCGCCAAGGGGCGGCGCTACCGGACCAACCTGGCAGCACCCCAGCTGCTCTGCTGCAGACATCCCAATTCACCCTAGATCCCTCATAGCCCCCCCTTCCGATAGTCTGGTATATCTGATAATCCAGCACCCCCTGGGTCCTACACCCCCTGGGTCCTAAAGGTGCCAGATTATCGGAAGTTTACTATAGTATGAAAAAAACAGGAAGCAGTAAAATAGAGTAAGGAAAATCCTTTTGTTAGCCTTTCCTACCTCATCTCAGATAGGATTGAGTTAAATGTAAGAAAGTGAATGAAATTACAAATTTTAATCATGATTTAAATCAACAAGCAAAATGCCTTGGTTTAAATAATTAACAGAAAACTACAAAACAAGTTAAAATTATCTTCCTAAAGAAAGTTTGTTTTTCAAAGGTTGATATAATTTAGAACTTTTTGCTTATCAGGAGCATATACACACTATCTCTTTACATATGCAATTAATCGTTTTATAGCTGAATATACATGTATTCAAGATTCTTCATTTTATATTAGAAAACAGTGACTGATTCTTTTTAAGGATGTTAAAAGGTGCCCAGCTCCTACTACATTTAAACTGCTAAGGCGCAGCAGGGGTAGGTCCCAGACCGGCACAAGCTGGGACAGAGCCAGGACCACAGCGGCTTTGCATTTTAAATGGAGTAAGAGCCAGGCAGCTCTTATATTTAAAATGCAGAGCTGCAGCAGTCTGGGACCAGCGCGAGCCACGACAGAGCTGGGGTTGCTCAGGGTATGTCTACACTACAAAGTTTTTTTGGAAAAGCAGCCATTTCTCAAAAAAAAACTTCAATTACATCTACACTAGTAATCCTCATTCTACGAGGAAGAAGCCTTTTTCCAAACGAGCTCTTTCAGAAAAACGCGTGTGTGGACAGGGAAGAGGGAGCTCTTTCGAAAGAAGAGGAAAGAGGAAAAAGAACAGGTGTCCTGGTGGCCACTCCGTCCATAGTAATTACAGCTGAAATGCAAGATAGCGTCCACGCTAAGTGAATACTATCTTTCGAAAAAACAGATCACTTTTTCGATGCACTTCTGAAGTGTGGATGCTCTCTTTCGGAAGAAGTTTTTCCAAAAGAAGCCTGCAGTCTAGACATAGCCTCAGTCCCAGCTTGTGCTGGGTCCAACAGCCCCTGTTCCCAGCCTGGGCGCCGGGAATAGGAGTGTTGCTTCTAACCATGGCCAGCCCAGCTCCTGTTTCACACACACCCCTTCTTGCCTGATACAGAGGCAGCAAGGGGAGGGGGGGGGGAACAAGTAATCATGTAGTCAACTGCTTGACTATTCAGTTACATCCCTAATTCACAGAATCATACAACTGGAAGGGACCTTGAGAGGTCATCAAGTCCAGTCACCAAGCACTGTATAGATCATTCATTTCTTATTTACTGAATGACTGTTATTTTTTATGATTTGTGACTAGTTACATTTGGTTAAAAACTGGAATTTTTTTAAACAATGCTCAAAACAAGAACTGTGAAATTATTTTCATTAGTTTTAACTACATTAAATATGCTGGATACATAAGAAAAAACAAGTTTATAAAAATATTTTGCATTTAAACTGAACTAATTTATTAAGCAAAGATCGTGTTATCTGTAATTTGTGAATTTAATTGATTGTGGTCACCACATCCTTCAAGACTTAAGAACTAATTAAAACACATTCTCTCTCTAGCCTCATTTGAATTAATAGACTAGAAGAGGAAAACAAGCATTCCTGATTTTTTAGCTTCCGATCGATTTCTTAATTTTGAATGAACTGCTCATTCAACTTACTTAGCTGAATAAACTGGCAAAAAAATAAATATTCTTTTTGTACCTACAGAAAAGATTGTTGCTGTCAAAAGCTAGTTTAGCATTTAACAAACTTCAACAGTAACTTTTATCAATGAGGGGTTTGACTTTCTTTACAACGTGAACAGCAAATGTACTGCTTGCTTACTTTTATTTAAATTAATTTGTTTTAATGAATTATAGTAAATTTAGATCTTAACTATCAATTTCAAATTTAATTTTAAATTGATTATTTTAAATGTATTTAATACAATCTAAATGAAAAATATCCAACTTAAACATTTTTTTTAATTCAGCCTGCCTCATCACCTCCAACTCCCTCAAAGTTACTCTCATTTACAATTTGTAAAGAAATTGAAGAGACACAGGCTTCATTAAGAACATAAGAATGACCACGCTGGGTGAAACCAAAGGTCCATCAGGCTTAGCATCAATTATTAATGTAGTTTAGTTGCAAACTTTATTATATATTATAGGGCAATATCCAGTGGATATATCAGAATCCCACAGACTGTGCCCTTTAGTTTCCCCATTTGTAAAATAGCTTCCTACCTCACAGAGATATGATGATTAGTTAACGAATGCCTGGAAACCTTTTAAGGCAGTGTGATGAAATGTGCTAGAGAACTGAAAGTACTATTTTAAACCATATACTTCTTACCTTTCAGCACCGAATGCAGACTCTGTGTCAATGTATATGACAGCCCCATGTAGTCCTCCCATGCTGATAGGCAGTGTAGCCAGTACACTCATCATAAGACAAAACTGAGTTTTTCCACAACCTGGTGGGCCAGTTACCTAAATAGAAAAGTATTTATATAAACTGGGTGTCTTACACATTGGGAGAAAAGGCATAATTCCATTTTAAATTATGACATATGGGCCAGAATAAGCAGTTAGGACCCCATATGCCCCTCTTCAATTTACAGCACAGCTGCCACTGATATCAATAACGAGATTGCACAAAGTTCAGATAGACTATGACCTTTACTTGGTAACTAAACTTGTCATTTTTTATTTGTTCAGTACCTTATTGTCATACTCAGTATCACTCGATGAGAAAACACATTCAGCTTTAACCACTATTTCTCCCTCTTGTTGACTTCCTTCCCCATCTTCAATTTCTATTCCTCTCCCTCTGCCATCAGTGTGAGTCTTTTATGTTCTCCCCTCTGCATTGCCTTACTTGAGGCAATTCCCCGTTCTCTGCTCTATGGGCTTTACTCCTATCCCCTTTCTCTTTCAATCTGCTAAAAGTGATCAGCAACAGAATTATTGTTGCTGCTGAAGTACCGATATTTCAGTGCGATTATAAAGGGAATCAGAGTTCACACCCCAATTCACTGTTTCAGATCAGGGCCATCTACAGTAGTTCTAGGCCCCAGGGCAGATCAATCAATGGGCCCCAAAGCAAACATTAGTTGTGCCCACACAGTCTGCCTGACATTTGCGTAGCACTGCACCTGCACTGGCTGGTGACCACCCAGCTGCTGGCTGCACTGCTAGGCACACTCTTCTAGCATGGCCAGGACTTCCACATGCCCATCTGGTAGGGTTGCCAAATGTCTCATCATGCAAACCCAAAAACCCTTGCTCCTCCCAGCTTTGCCCCTTTCCTGAGGCCATGTGCCTGTCCCACCCCTTCTCCAAGACCCAATCCCTGATTCACTCCATTTCTCCCCCCTCCATCACTGGCTCTCCCTCACCATCACTCACTTTCACCAGGCTGGGGGTTCAGGACCCATTGAGGCTGTGCATTTGGATGCTGAGGCAAGTCCATTTGGCTGAGCCTTCTCAGCGATGATCTGATCTCAGTGTCTGTATTATATTGCAAAAGGCTGTGATATTATCTCTATATCAGTGCTGAAGGAGGCTGGAGGACTAAGTTCAGCAGAACAGAGTTCAGGGGCACCCAGAAGGGCAGGAAAGTAGACTCAATAGCATTTCAGCATGTCAAATGACAGTCACAAGTGGATCTCTGTGACCAAACTCATCACACTGGTGATGAAACACTACATGCAGAAAACTCTGAACTACTACAGAGAATACTTTCCTGAGTCTCTGGCCACTGGCTCTTGCCCACAATTTCGGCATTTATCTGACTGTCACATCTGCGATCAGGAAGTAATTTCCCCTTTGGAGAAATATTGGCAGACACAGTGGATTTTCACCTTCCTCTGAAGCATAGCATGGATCACTTGCAGATTTAAACGAATGTAAATTATGGCTTCTCTATAATTTGAAGTCTTTAAATTATGATTTAGGGACTTTAATGGCTCAGCCAGAGCTCATAAATCTATTACAGAAGGGAGTGGGTGAGGTTCTGTGGCCTGCGATATACAAAAGATTAGAAAATATTATCAGGATGGTCTTCTAGCCTTGAACTCCGTGAGCTTGTATTATTTTAAATTTGGTTTTAAAATCAAGAGTCTACCATGATAATAGCAATTTCAGAACTAAAAAGCAAAGTTACTCATCTCCGGTGCAGTAACTATCATTCTTCGAGGTGGTGTCCCTACGGGTGCTCCACTATGGGTGCTGGGCTTGCCCTGGCACCGCAGACGGAAGCCTGTGATGAGCAGTGTTCAGCCAGACCGCGCATGTGCCACAGGCTCGCGGCTTTCGTGCTCTTTTCTGTCTCGCACCATCCCACCCCCCCACCAGTTCCTCGAGACCGCCTCGCAGTCTGTAAGAGACAAGAGCAGAGAGAGAGAGAGGACTCCGAAGCGGGGAGGAGGGCAGGTAGTGAAGCACCCGCTGGGACACCACCTCGAAGAATGACAGTTACTGCACTGGAGGAGAGTAACTTTGCTTTCTTCTTCGGGGATGTCCCGGTGGGTCCTCCACTATGGGTGACTGCATAGCAGTAGTCGCCAGAATGGAAGGAGGGCAAGGAGTCCCTATTTATCCGCTGTGGAGAGCACCGTAGTCGTCACTGCCGTATCTGAACGAGTGCCTAGAGAAATAGAATAGTGTTTGGCGAAGGTCTCATGTGAGGACCAGGTCGCCATCCTGCAGATGTCCTTCAGAGATATCCCTCTATGAAACGCTATAGATGTGGCCATGGCTCTAGTGGAGTGGGTGCATGGTTGGGATGGGAGGGGTAAGCTTTTCGCTGCGTACAATTGCGTTATGCATGAGGTTACGAGATTGGAAATCCTCTGGGAAGATAGGCGTTGACCCTTTGATCTCTGTGTCAAGGAGACAAATAAGTCGTCCGTACGCCTGAAAGGTCTAGTGCGATCTATGCAGAATGCTAAGGCCCTGCAGGTGTCCAAGGAGTGTAGGGCCGCTTCTTGTGGTGAGGCACGGGGCTTCGGGAAAAAGGTTGGCAGGATCACTGGTTCGTTGACATGGAAATGGGAGACGATTTTGGGAATGAATCTTGGGTGTAGTCTCAAGACTACTCCATCCTTACGGAAAATTGTATGTGGTGGCGTGGCCGTCATGGCAGAAAGTTATGGCAAGCAGGAAAACGGTTTTCAAAGTGAGGTAATGCAAGGATACAGTCGCCAGAGGCTCAAACAGCGGCTTCATTAGGGCGTCGAGGACTACATCCAGGCTCCACACCAGTGGGACTGGGTCGTGCGGTGGGGTCATATTGGTAAGGCCTTTGAGAAATCTCTTAGTAGTAGGATGGGCAAAGACAGAAACACCATCTATCGGTGATGTAAATGCTGATATTGCTGCGAGGTGCACCCTGATGGAGGCTAACGCGAGGCCTTTGTTCTTTAGGTGCAACGCGTAGTCCAGTACGGAGGGGATCAACGGACGTGTCGGATCGTAGTGGGTCGAGGTACACCAGGAGAAGAATCTGCGCCACTTGTGAAGGTAAGTTTTTCTCGTGGTTTGTCGTCTACTGTGTACTAGGACGTGTTGGACTGGAACGGAGCAGAGGGATTCGAATGGAGTCAGCCAGTTAGAAACTATGCTGTTAGGTTCAGCATTTGTATCTGGGGGTGTTTCAGGTGTCCTTGGTCTTGCATGAGGAGATTGTGGAGAGGCGGAAGGCGGATCAGTGTCCGCACAGAGAGTCAGTGGAGGAAGGGAAACCAGTGCTGGCGATGCCAGTCCGTGGCTATGAGGATTAGCATTGCCCTGTCCACCTTCAGCTTCTGAAGGACTCTGGGGATCAGCGGTATGGGGGGAATGAATAGTCCACGCCAAGTCATAAGGAAGGCGTCCCCCAGGGATGCGCAGCTTAGGCCCGCCCAGGTGCAGTACTTGAGCCATTTTGTATTGGCAGGAGTTGCAAAGAGGTCCACTCGGGGAGTACCCCAACATTGGAAGATCTCGCATAGGCCGCCATCGTGCATTTCCCATTCGTGCTTCACATGGAAGCGTCTGCTCAGGAAATCTGCCGTCACGTTTGTGGTGCCAGGTAAGTAAGATGCTGTAGGTGTTACTCTGTGGCGAATGCACCAGTTCCAAAAGCGGATGGCTTTCGTGCATAGGGAACGGGAGTGAGCACCGCCTTGGCGATTCATGTAATACATGGCTGTGATGTTGTCTATGAGTATCCTCACTAGTACATGGCTGCGATGTTGTCTGTATCATCACAGTGGTATTCCGAATGTGGACGAGGAAGGATTTGCATGCACTGAAAATAGCACGAAGCTCTAGGAGGTTTATGTGTAACCTTGCTTCTTGTGGGGACCATTGGCCTTGTACCGAGAGAGAACCCATGTGGGCCCCCTAGCCTAGTAGGGAGGCATCCGTTGTGATTTGGTGGAGTGGCTCCTGCTGATGGAAAGGTATATCTGACAGCAGGTTTATGTGGCTGGTCCACCATAGAAGTGATTGGAGAATGCCAGCTGGCAAAGGGAAACCAGTGCTGGCGATGCCAGTCCGTGGCTATGAGGATTAGCATTGCCCTGTCCACCTTCAGCTTCTGAAGGACTCTGGGGATCAGCGGTATGGGGGGAATGAATAGTCCACGCCAAGTCATAAGGAAGGCGTCCCCCAGGGATGCGCAGCTTAGGCCCGCCCAGGTGCAGTACTTGAGCCATTTTGTATTGGCAGGAGTTGCAAAGAGGTCCACTCGGGGAGTACCCCAACATTGGAAGATCTCGCATAGGCCGCCATCGTGCATTTCCCATTCGTGCTTCACATGGAAGCGTCTGCTCAGGAAATCTGCCGTCACGTTTGTGGTGCCAGGTAAGTAAGATGCTGTAGGTGTTACTCTGTGGCGAATGCACCAGTTCCAAAAGCGGATGGCTTTCGTGCATAGGGAACGGGAGTGAGCACCGCCTTGGCGATTCATGTAATACATGGCTGTGATGTTGTCTATGAGTATCCTCACCGTGGTGTTTCGAATGTAGGTGAGGAAGGATTTACATGTGTTGAAAATGGCGCATAGCTCTGGAAGGTTTATGTGTAGCCATGCTTCTTGTGGAGACCTTTGGCCTTGGACTGAGAGGGAGCCCATGTGAGCCCCCCAGCCTACTAGGGAGGCATCCGTTGTGATTTGGTGGAGTGGCTCCTGCTGATGGAAAGGTATATCTGACAGCAGGTTTATGTGGCTGGTCCACCATAGAAGTGATTGGAGAATGCCAGCTGGCAGCATTACTGGCCTGTGGAGATCGTATCTGATGTGGTCGTATATAAGAGTCAGCCAGTACTGAAGGGCGTGCAGATGTAGTCTGGCGTATTTCACCACGTATGTCATGGCATCCATATGGCCCATCAGTCTGAGGCATGCAATGAGTGGAACAGTAGGGCTGATGGTGATTGTGTGAATGAGGTCTTGGATGGCTTCAAACCTCTGTAAGGGTAGGAATGCTCTGTCGGCAAGTGAG